TCAATGTTACTTCTTTGTATCTCTATTATACAGAGTAAGTTTGGATCCAAATGTATATACGAATATATAGAAACGAAAATATAATAGAAAAAGCAGAAAATATAAATATAAAAATTCATACAAATTCTCGAGAATGTTACATTCATTCTGAAATGTAGTCAGCCAGAGTTCGTCGACTGTTATCGATAAGATAGCCGGTACAACCCATGATATATGCCAAATCAATCAGTGGACACGATCAAATTACGGTTATTCGATGTGTTCGCTTCATTGTCGGGAATGTAGAAAAATTACAAGAAACAAAATTCCAGTATGTAAAATATGCGAAGTATATAGGTTTAATATTATCTGGAAATATTTGACGCGAAATTGTACTCACCCTCATACGAACTTCGTAATCGGTATATCGTTTCTTGCCGACGCCGTGTGTGATCGGATTAATCACATCGATTTCAAGGAAATTAGCTGGCGCCGCGTATGCGTCGTCTAGTGTTTGTTTTTTTACATTTAATCGCCGCGTTGCGTCTACAGTTGTGTCCGCCATTTCAATTACACTTTCAATTAAATATCTGTTTCCGTAAGGTTCACTTCTAGACTTGAAAACACCGATATGCAGCGGCTAACAATGTATAACGAAGCACCGCCACAAATGACAGCGCTTAGTAACTTGACACAATTTGTTTCTCTCTCTCTCACTCTTACGTCGTCCAACTCTTTTTCTCTCGCCACACCGCACTACGTCGCACACTACCAAACGTTACTCCGAGTATCATATATATCATATAACATAAATCCATATGTCGCCCGTAGGTGCTTTAGGTTAATATTTCACGCTTATATGACAAATATTTTGAAAGTGTCGATTGGATTATACGATAGAGAATTTCTGGTGATTCAAAATCTTCACTATCCTACAACCAATTTACGCTTTCAAAAATCTTTGTTGTACAATACATGAAATATCAACCTAAGGAACTCTTTCGTCATTTTCGATTAATAGGCTGATTATTTAATTGGAATTAACCAATCGCATTTGTCGTCAAATTTGTCGACGAATGCGATCGATCAATTACAAAAGAATAATCGATCGATCGAGTTAATTGAAGATGAGGTGAAAAAAAATGGTCCTAAGGACCATCTTTCATCAACTCCGGTTAATCTAATCGGGAGTGTCCCGTTTGATCACGTCGCAATTGGATACAGTCACTTACAGCGGCCGATGCCTGGAGATTTGCCACTAGATCGACCAATCAAAAAAATTTTCTTTTAAATGGCCAATCGAGCATCACCCCTTTTATATCTTTTCTATAAGAGAAAGGAATGGTCGGCTGGCGTTGTCAATTCCGCTGACGCGACAAGCCACATCACGCATGTGAAATCATTTATCTCAAAGTATCATCGAAATGATTCTTTCGGTAACAAATAGAAAACAAAATAATTCAAATATTCAACTCGTTTATGTAATTTGTAATTTAATATTACTTCATACATGTAAATATGCTCAAGATATTTAATTTTCTTATTTCATTAGGCCGTATTTCGATATATACCGCCGGTACTACAAAATTATATATTTTATGTTACGTATAAATTTTCAGTATTGACAATGTATATCGGGATACGGTCTTAGTCTTAGATATGCCTAAGTCAATAATAATCTCACGAATATAATTTTACGAATATACTTGAGAAATATATATTCGCGATACATTTTTAATTTCATTTTTACACGATTCATTTCACGTACTTGTGCTAAATCGATTATCCTGCAACTACACGTATAATTATATATTTTATATTATTCGCACAAAGAATTATCTTACTTCATAAAAATAATATTTCCATTAAATAATAGTCCAAATAATCGTACAGAAGGTATAGAATCAATATTCTACGACATATATCGTACATTCTTATTTTCGGCATTTAAAAAGTATAAAGATTAAAAAATTTTTTTAATAATATTTCATATATGTGCCATTCAAATGGCAGTACGTATATTTTATTCTTCCAAAAAGAAATATTGTCCAGCTCTTTTTTGCTCCAAGTCCTACAGAAAAAGAAATGAATCAAAATTCTTATCGTCCAGACAAATCGCGATAACAGATTCGAAATATCATTTCATAGCATGTTTAAAAAAATTTTATTTCAGAGAAATTTGTAGCAGCCAAATTTATACATACCTTTACCGATTGATTTTTATTGATTCTTGGTCTAAAGTTATTGGGATCTCTTCTGAAAGTGATACCCAATAGTTCCAAAAATCTATTCATACCGTTTAACAAAGATTGGGGACTATGAGCAGTAGTCGCTAAAGACGGTGTACCAGAAAATACTATTACACGATCAGCCAAATATGTAGCCATGATAAAATCGTGTTCCACTACAAAACCCGTTTTCTTCGCATGTAATATAAATCTGTAACGTAAACGCAACTTTTATATTCATTTACGTTCATGTTTCTATTCGATAATCTTCGAATCTATATTTATTAAACACCTCTTGATCACTTTTGCAGCAACTAAACGTTGTTCGGAATCCAAATAAGCGGACGGCTCATCGATCAGATAAACATCAGCTGGCTTTCCCAGGCAAAGGGCTAGAGCAACTCGCTGTAATTCTCCACCAGAAAGATTTTGCACTTCTTGATCCATAATATCGTCAATCTTTAGAGGCTTCATTACATCAGTTACAAATTGAGGATGCACGTACGCATCTCGAACCTTCTCATGTAACAGCTGTCTGACAACGCCTTGGGATTTAGGGCTTATTTTTTGTGGTTTATAACTAATATGAAGTTGAGGAATACTCTCTGCAAGGTAACAATTTTATTAGTAACATATTAGTTTCGATTGATTTTTTAAAAATTATTAGCAAATAATTTTAAAAGAAACGGTATCAAATATTCCATAATTATTAAATTCGAGCTGATCAAAGACAAAATTTCGTATAGATGAAATTTTATTCCATATATTCGAAGATGTCAATTCACGATGTAGAATTTATCTCGCACTTTTCTTTTCGATCGATCGTACCATTAACGACAGAGACGCACAAATACTTGGTATAACGATCCAAGTCTATATCTTAACATACGTATACATACCCGATCCATCATCCGGAGGTAAGTTGCCAGCCAGCATTCTGATAAACGTCGTTTTACCAGTTCCATTTTCTCCTAATAAAACGAGTATCTCCGAATCGGTAAATTGTCCTTTCTCGACGTTTAACTTAAACGTCCCCATTGTCTTCGTCATCGCAGGATATTCATAATGATTCATGCGTTTTACTTCCTCCTCAGTCGCACTTTCTGCTACTTTGAATACAAGAGATTCTTCACGGAATCGTAAATTTTCCGTGGGAACAAAACCATCGAGGAAAATATTTATCCCTTCTCTGACGGAAAAAGGCATAGTAACAACGCCATATGCTCCAGGAACTCCATATAGGCAGCAAATAAATCGGACAAATAGTCCAAAACCGATAAATCGTGCTCTACTACTATTATAAACCTGACATATGAAGACAAGAAGTAATTAATTAATTTATACACAGAGTCAATAAAAAAAATACGACAGTTCTTTTTTAACAAGGTTTTACAACACTTACTTATCCGGATGAATGAGAGATCTAATAGTCACAGCAGCATTCAGACGCTGCTTGACATCTAAATATGAGGAAGGCTCGTCGAACATGAAGATATCTCCATTCTGGATACATACCATCGCACAAGCGAATCGCTGAAGCTCACCGCCTGAAAGCGCTTCGATTCCACGATCGCGTATATGCAGTAAGTCTAGATCAACGAGAATAAAAAAAAAGACCATACAAGTTGAAAAAATTTCTCTCGCGATACATCAGGTTGGTCTTTATGAAAAAATCGTGATAAAAGCAAAGTCGACTTACCGAGCATTTCACAGATCTCCATCTGATTCTTGCATTCATCTTTTTTATCTAAAAGTTGCTGTACAGTACCTTTTACAGCTTTAGGGATTTGATCGACATATTGAGGTTTGATAAGTGCTTTTAAATCGTCTTCCAAAATTTTAGTAAAGTAATTTTGCAACTCGCTACCTCTGAAATGACTCAAAATTTCCGTCCAATCCGGCGGATCCTGTTCGAATAAAATTTTATTTTCAGTTACACATTCATACACATACATATATCATACATAGGATTTCTACAGAACAACCACATACAGAATATCTTCCCAAATTTGGTTTTTGTTTGCCAGCTAATATTTTAAGGGCAGTCGATTTACCAATCCCGTTAGTTCCTACAAGTCCTAAAACTTCACCGGGACGTGGAATGGGAAGTCTATGTAACTTGAACGAATTCTTGGAATAACGATGCGTCGTTTCCTTTTCTAAATTACTAGGAAGATTAATAATAGATATCGCTTCAAAAGGACATTTCTGTAGAAAAAAAAAAAAAAAACACTTGTCAATCTTTCATCAATCTTTTACGAATGTTAAAAATTATTTAATATTACCATATATTAATTATACATAAGAATTATAGAAAATTAAAGAAAAGATATTTGTGTCTCGGATGGTTCGTTATCATTTTAGAAAATATCTAGAAATTTAATAAAGTCTCACGACATCACGCATTGTTTGGATTCAACATATCAAATTTATCAATGATATATTACTACATCAATCAGTCGCATTACATATCATTACCTTGACACAAATGCCACATCCAATACATAGTTCCTCCGAGATCGAGGCTATTTTATAGTTTGGATTAACCTCTATACAAAGTTTTCCCATTCGCACTACTGGACAAGATCTTTTGCACTCTTGTCTGCATCGTTTGGGTTTACATTTATCAGGATTTACAATAGCTATACGGGTCAACCGATCAGTTTCCTCCATTGACTTTTTTGGTGGCATGATGATATGCTAATTTAGAAAAAAAAGAAACATATTACATACAATATTTAAAATAATTACAATTTCATTTTTTTTTTATTCTTCCTTATTATTTAGCGATTTAATTTTTAATTTAAAAATTTATTATTTTTAATCTGAATCTACATAAATATATACAAAAATATAAATATTAACATATATGTATACATACATATACAT